ATTTTCTGTAGTTTCTTGTTCACATTATCTGATTTGCAGGATATATATAGGATGAGTAGGTTCATAATCAATGCATAAGTAATCACTAGCTCCATAATTATGCTCCATACCTCAAAACACACATACCTGGTACCACGACCTGGTAAATAGCCCCTGGAACAAAATTTCAGATAGGTATACCTCTCTGTACTACTGATCCATCCAAAATTGCCTTCTCATTTCGAAGATTGAAGGTATTATACAGGAGTATATGTAAATATCCATATTTTATAATGGTACTTACTTATAATCAGATACAATAAATTAATATAAATATGCTGAGCAGACCAAAAATTTTGTATCATGTTTGTATACTCTATTTGGTAAACATTTCATGACATGTCGCTTTAAGGTTGACAACTTGTCGTCTTACTGCCTGTGACGTCACGAGTGACCGTTTCCCCCCTTGCCGCACTATCGATCGAGGCAACCTTCCTATACAAATTATAATCAGTTCTACCAACCTTGCAGTAGGCGCTTGATACTTTTCACAGAATAATGAATGAATGCCAAGCTGTCGCATGGAACCTTCATCTTATTTCATGCGATTTGGCGGTTGGTTCCTTTTCAATTAGCATCATCCAGTTATAGATCTGAGTAGCACATTTGTTTGGCCTTCAAGGTCCTCAATATTACCCACGTAAATGAACATGGGGAATATTCCTACTGGAAAAATCACTATACGGAAAGAAAGCTGATATGTAGCAATCTAGTTACGGACGTTGCAAATATCATTCAGGTATGTCTCAGATTCAACATCTATGTATTTTCTCGAATGATATTTTCTGATTCAAATGTACTTCGATTTAAATGTGATGTTTAGTTGCAGATCCAAGAAGCAGTGTTTGATACTTGCCACTCAATCGGAGAAAACCATCCAGTAAATACGAACCGAACAGAAGATTCACAAAGTGAACTGACCAGAGTATACTTATGGGGAGAGTATCAACTCGGCGTTTATAAACCCTCTCTGCAAAAGAGGTAGACGCATGGTGGGTTAGGTATATACAGTGTTCTTCATTGCAGAGAAAATTGTTGTTTATCTGCCTGCCTCGTCTTCATTGAGATAGTTGATGAATTACAAAAATATATCGCGTTCCAGTTACGAATGTTGAAAACAATATCCAATATTCTATGTAGGTCTCACGATTCAAATTTGAAATTGATCCTTAGTTTTAGATCCGAGCAGCACATCGTTTGGCCTTCAAGGTCCTTAATATATCCCACGTACGTAATTGAAAATGTGGAAAATGCCTACTGGAAAAAACACTATTCGGAAAGAATGCGGATATGTAGCAATCCAGTTATGGACGTTGAATATATTATTCAGGTATGTCTCAGATTCAACATCCACGTAATTCATCTAATGATGCTTTTGGGTGTATGATAAATTGACATAGAGAATGCGAATTCTCAATGTATTGCTTTATATCAATATATATCCTTTTTTGTATGTTCATAATTTATCTGAGAATATTCCTTTTCAACACTCATCTAATGATATTTATTTTCTGATATGAATGTACTTTGGTTGATATGTGATATTTTGTTGCAGATCAAAGAAGCAGTACTTTGATACTTGCCACCACTCAATCGGAGAAAACCATCCAGTCCATACGAACCGAACAGAATATTCACAAAGTGAACTGAACAGAGTATACTTATGATGACTAGTTATGTTATATATATACTTGGTATATTTATGATATAATAGTCTGACGTTGATGTGACATTTGTATAACATAATTATTACTTTCTGAAAACATGAGCCTGCATTATGGTTTAATGTTGCTGAGTTGATTTTTGAAACTCACGAAATAACTCCACAGATAAATAAATTTGGGAAAGTGATTTCAATATTGCGCTCTGGGTTGGTTTTGTAGTTCTCTTTGTATATGTTCTATTCTTGATTTTCCTGCAATATCACGTATTACTTTTTCAGGCTACTTTCCGTCCTAAAAATATAGTCACTTCATAAATTTTTCTCCGACTTGGATTTCCGAAAATATATTTAACAGACATGCCATGACTACATTAGTTCAGATACCCACATCGAGGTTTTCACCATTTCTCAAGCCAAGTCTCAGCTCATTCAGCTTATAGCTAAACTACTGCTCAGCCTGAAATCAGAATTCGTTCAGTCATTTCAGTCAACCCTGGTATGCAGTCTAAGAACATCAGTCTCTTTTGGTGAAATATATTGAGCTTTTAGTACAAATTATATGTTCCCTACCTCGCAAAGATTATGCTGGAGTAGTAAACTCTTGGTATTGGTATAGTTGAATCAGGAATTCTATATCGAAATTACGTATGATACGCCAATGACCTCAATATAACCTTAAAAAACAACAAATGTCAAAAATCTAGTGTTCTGCAGTTCTGTCCACAATTCCGTACCCTGTTAAAGCTGTCTTTAACGCCAATTTCCATCAAAGGACTCGAGACTCGAGGATTGACTAGGGTCCCTTGATGTGAATTGACGTATTTGTCATCTTAACAGGGTACGGACAGATCCTCGTCTCCTCTCACTCTAAAGTGTTTGTGAAACAGTTATTCTGGGGATAAACACTAGATTTTTGACATTTTTTGTTTTTTAGGTTATATTGAGGACATTGGCGTATCATACGTAATTTCCACATGTAATTTCTCATTCGACTGTACATATTATATCCAAATAATGATGATAATTTTTGAGTTTTTGGTTTTTCAACTCAAGCATAATCTTTGTGAGGCAGTGAGCAAATTTTTCTGAGTTCTATTCGTTTTACCAAATGGGACTCTTCTTAGGCAGTACCCATCAATAATAGATGAATTTTGATTTCAGACTGAGCCTTATGGTTTAGAAATGGTGAACAATTGTATGTAGGTATGTGCTTATATGTCATGTGTGCTGTATATATTCATGTTGGGAATCATTTTTGCTGTTAAGGAAACTTAATATTTCCTGAATGTACGTTCAATTTTTTTCAATCAAAACTGTTTCTACTATAATGCATTCAAAAACTTGTGGAGTGGATAATTATAGGCACAATGAGAAAGTATAATAGGTGATTTCGTATTAGGTTTACCTCAAATATTTTGCTGATGTATTTAACAATTTTCCCCATTCGGTATCACTTCACTTTCCATGTTCTAAGTTCATTTGCATTTGATATAAAGCTAACAAATGCAAATTCGCCATCCAACTGATTGAACGCAGCACATTTTACCATCCTTCCAAAACAGAATTTTGTGAGATCTCTTTTAACGCCTATGAATGTGACGTGACAGCAATGTCATGTCAGGGACGCCAATACACAAAACCAAAGTCACTAGATGATTAAAAGAGAAAGGAGCTATGATCTGTCCGTACCCTGTTAGCAAGACAAAAACGTCAGTTGGTTGACTGATCTCTGGTTTGCATGAAGGGGGCTAAAGGAAGAAACTGTTTCTTCAGTTTAAGTAAGACACAGTAGGCTAGAAAATGTATTGATCGGGAATCATAAACATGTCTAGATATAATCACCTGGACTATAGTAAATCAAGGTATATACGAGGCACTACTTCCATCATTCGAGGCATGGTAAAAGACGTTTTAAAACGTCGCGTCAGGTTTCAAAAATGTCAAATTACATGTCAACAACAGAAAGAATGAACTTATACGCTCACAATTCACATAAAAAAGTGCCTCTAGCTCAAGGCTATTTAACTTATAGAAGTTAATAGACCTTGCCTCTAGCCAATGACGGCTAAGGGGGCTATTCTGTAACGCTTAACGACATCGTTAGCGAACGATAATCGTTAAGGAACGATATTTGTTATTCTGTAGCTAACGATTGTCGTACTGTACGACAAAACTTATCGTTTGTAGACGACATCGGCTGAGGTGTCTTTGCAGAAATTTTTTTGTCGTTAGGAGACACAAAAAATAATATAGAAATTGGCAGACAGTGGTGAATGTGAATAACCGGGCATTAGTTCTAGAAGAGATAGCACGCAGATAATAAACTCTTCATTGTTTCTAGTGATCGCATTGGTACATTACATTGTAATATCATATGATATCATCAAAAAAATTTCAGACAACAAAATATAGACAGCAACTCAGAATACTCAGGGATATGAGTAATCCTGAGTTATCAGATGTGCTAATTCTTCAAATGCATTTATAATATTGAGCAAAAGATGCAGCACAAGATTGAATAATGAAATATCAGGATTCATGCTGCCAGCACATAGAAATACAAGTATGCATGTATACATACCAATTGGCCATAGACCTTACGATAGATCCTTCAGCCCATGTGTGTTCTATGTGGGCTTTGTTACTAACTCCATACGCCACCTTAGGAGTAGAACCTTTCAATTGGAAAGCAACAGCGAATCGTGCGAAATCGTCTCCTGCCGAGGCAACGAAAATTTGAATTTCTCTCGTTATATAAATAAAATTTCTGCTCTGCCAGAGATTCGGACCTATAGCGACCTTTCGATATTTACATTTCATGGTATCTACATGAACTTATCAAAAACCTGATGTGGGTTCATGAGGTTGATGATATTATTGTCAATAATCTTGTTGTGAAGTTCCCTCAGACAGCTGGTGACATTTTCAACACAAAAAACAACAATTTTGTTGTCTGGAAGACGAAGTACTGACCATATTATTCGACAATAATAACATATCATTACCTTCTTTTCAACTTCTAACGAGTTTCGCGCGGTTTTTAGCCACAGAACATCAACATACTCATACTGTTACCAACATTCATCAAATCCATTTATTACCATGTCCCCAGATTTTTCTCTAACGACATCGATACTGAATAAGTTTCCAGAATGTATCGTTTAAAATGTCGTTGGTCAATGTATCGTTAAGGTAACGATATCGTATTCTAACGATGAGTTACTGAATAGACCCCTAAATATCTGGACTTCTGGACTGTCTGACGACAACTTTATTACATGCGTCCTAGCTCTAGACTATTTTAACAAGGTTGAGAAGCACCGAAACGATTAACGAACAGACCTTCCGCTGTCACTGTGGTAAAATGTCGAATTTGACATCTATAGGTTATGTAGATACGTTCCTTTTGAAAAATATTATATTTGAAATGAGTGAATCCAAAAAATAATTGTATACTACCAAATATTCTTCTTTATTCAGTTTTACAATTCTGTGTAGAATAAGCTGATACTTTGTCAATACTAAAAAGGGTTCAGCAAAAATGTTCCAATTGACTACCATGATGACAAGAAGTTCAAAGAGCTGCAGTGTTTTACCCTTACTATTGAGGTTCAACAATTATTCATCGTCCTCCTCATTTCCCGAACTAAAATTCACAGCGAATCAACCGTCACCTGATTCAGGAAATAGTATAAGTTCTGGCAAGGTGTTCAAAGGCCAGCGACCCATTAATTCTATGGTAGCTGCAGTTTTTGATTCCTTGAAGGGTGAAAACAGTCAAATCAAGACCCCTCAAACAGATTCCAAACTTGTAGAAGCCACAACTGTAGGTGAATTGCTTACTGTAACAGATGGTAATGGAGTTTCAAGAAGGCATGCATTGAAGGTGAATATCAAGAGGTTGAATAATATGTTCATCATGTACAGTGTACAGTTTGAAGCAAAATCAATACCTATTCTTGCTTTCATCAGAATAATTCATTGTCTGTACATGTATCAAATGTCTTCCAGAAATGTTTACATAATAATTATTGCTGAACATTTCATGAGTTCTCAAATAAATTATAATTACCTCATTTTAGGTAGTTTCAATTCTAGCAGATTGGTCATCTACTGGTAAAGTAAAGCTGTCTGATTTTGAAACTGATCCAAGATTTCTGAGATTGTGCAGAATCTTGAGCAAACAATCATCTGCAGTAGCAAAAACTAGCAGGAACATATCTCATGGTGAGGATCTTTCCACTATATTGAATATAACTGCTGAGGATGAGGCTGCTAAAATGGTGACAGGTTTAACTTTATCACAAATGGTTAAGGTAAGTAATTAAACATATTTATTGACTATTTTATTGTATATGTATATCATTTATTGATCTTAGGAATCTTTTGAATTATCTTGCTTTCAATCATCTTGGCATTTATAGTATGAACTTTGATTTTAAACTATTGTCTCTAATATCAATGACATTTTGTACTGTTTTACTAGTCAACATCAATGAGTTATCAAATTCATATGGTCTCATCCACGATGTTTATGAATTTGTCAGTTTTGTCATCATACCACATGATATTTTTGCCTTATGTGGTCAATATGACATAACAAATATTCAGTACCTTTCATCTGGTTATGTAGGCAGCTTTTTGTAGTATGGGATTTTCAGATTTTCATTCATTTATAATATCAAACTACATCATGGTTTTATCTGATAATAATAATAATAATAATGTTTATCAGCCACTTTGGTACAAAATGCACATGTGGTAAGTTGTATCACAATAAAAATTGTAGGGTAAAACTGCATTTATCATGTGATGGTTTTTTTTTCCACAATTTGTTTTGGTACTTATGTATTTTTCTCTGAAAAACACGAATTTGATAATGAAAATGTAAACAAACCATTATTTATCAAGATATTTGACTATAAAGTTACAAATTTCACCTTCTTTTTTGCCTGTCTTCTGGATGGCATTTAGAACAATTTTCCCTTCTTTTTTCATCATATTGGACAATTTATATATCCCAATGTATGACACATTTTTTTAAATATAATATATTAAAAAAATCATGTTATGATTCAACTATAAATATGATTTTCTTGAGATTTATCCATATTTAGTGAAAAGAAGGAAAAATATCTCAGAAAGAATATCATTTAAAATGATGGCATGTGTAATGTCATTCCAAAGCAATAGTGGTTTGTTCACATTTTCATTATCAAATTCGTGTTTTTCAGACAAAAATATGTGAGTACCAAAAAAATTTTCGAAAAAAAAACCATCCCATGATAAATGCAGTTTTACCAATTGTAGTAGTAAGAACATAAAAATTTTAATAAATTGCAAAACATTGCAAACATAATAATACACAGACAACATGCCATTTATGAATATTGAATCACACTGAATCATTCAAAAAATTCTAGGTGACTATAATAACACTTCTCAATTAACAAACATTTAGATTTATCAAAAAATATTTTGTCACATGGCTTTGCTCATCCTGCAAAATCATATCATCACACAAAATGAAGCATTTCCTAACTGGTTATGCAAATATATATTTTTCTGTGATGGGAAAAAAGTTTGAAATTATTTTTTTGTTTATACAAATAAACAAATGAAATTCGGTGTGTAAGTTTAGTAAATTAAATGTGCACTATTTGCGAGACTATTTGACATATTCAATTGTTTTCAAATGAACCATATTTTTGTATTTTAAATGGGACACCCGGTATATTTTCACTAATTTTCATATTGTGAGTACAGTGAAACCATATTTGCCACTTTTTCACACATCATCCTGAAATTTTCATTTTCCAATTCTCAATCTAGAGTGCCATGAATGATTTGAAACATTTGATTTTGAATCATTTTGCATAGGAAAAATATTTTTTATGGAGTTTGACTTCCTATTTGTTTCCCAGGTTCATTGAAAATTTGCAATATTGTAATTATGTTGTTAACTCCATTTTTTTCTAATGAAACAAGGGTGGCTCATGAACATGATAATATCACATAATCAATGTTTTGAACCAATACCCAGTATCATAATCACTATAGATTGGAAATTGAAAAATGAAAATTTCAGGATGAAAAATGTCAAAAAGTGGCAAATGGGGAGTCATTGTATTCACAATGTTATTCTCTATCAAAATAAGTAAAAATACACATCCCATTTAAATTATAAGAAATAATGGATCATTTCTATGGTGGAAGCATGTGTATTATTACTACATACAAGGTGAACTTCAGATAATGAAAAGTAATTATAATATGAACTTGAAATTACATAACAGAACAAACTTTGTTTGTTAACATGAGAACAAAAGTGTAACTACTGACTTGACAATGAAGAAGGATGCTTCTAATAATGACATAATAGCACTGTCAAAATTTTCAGTTGTACCAACCTATTGTCTCAACTCAACCACACCCCCACTCAATCAAAATTTTCTAGCCACACAAGAAATATTTAGAGAAGTATACAACTTCTTAAATACTGTCTGTAGGTTAATCAAGGAGGTGGTACATTCATTTTACTTGATTTTTTGGGATTTTCTCTCCTCGTTTCTATTTCAATATATTTGTAGTGGAAATTTTTGTATCAGAGAGCCTAAAAGAAAAATCTAGTAGCTCGTCAGTGACATTTTGGGGCAAATCATCTGATTTGTCCCACTACAAATATATTGAAATAATATGCATATTTTTATTTTATAGAAACAAGGAAAGACAATCCCAAAAAATCAAGTAAAATGAATACAACTTCTTAACTTTTCAAAAATTATTTTATTTTGGGGTTTGGTTAGGATATCTGCAACTTGATCACTGCTTGGAATATATTTTATTTCTAAAAAACCTTTAATTTTTTCTTTGACAAAATGATATTTGATATCCAAATGTTTAATTCTTTTAAGTTGTTCATGAGTTGTACAGGATCAAATAGCAGATTGATTATCTTCATAGATAATAACTTTCAGCTGTTTTTAAAGTCCTAACTCAACTATTGAATTTCTTAACCAGCAAACTTCACTTGTACATGCACTTAAGGCTATTATTTCTGCTTCAGCAGTTGGGATAGCAAGTGCTTTGGTTACCTGAGGTCCATGAAACGATATTGTCATAAACATAAATGAGAAAGCCACTAGTTGATATTCTGTCCGTAGTGTCACCACCCCAATCTGCAACCGCATATGCTGAAACAATTTCCTTACTGTCACTTTTAAAAACCAACTTCAACTGTAAAGTCCCTTTTATGCACACCGCTTGAGAGATAATAATAACTTTTCAGTTGCACAGTTTTGATATCTCGATAACATACTAATATTTGAACATGAATCTGGCCTAGTTTCTAACATTGCATCTATTTTCTATTTCATAACTTTCTGACATCATATATTTTAAACATTCATAATCAAAGTTATTGTCCATTGGTGTACTTACACTCTTTGATTCCAGCATACCAAATCTTCTTAAAACATTTTCCAAATACTGTTTTTGACTTGATACTATTGTTTTATTATTAAATCTTGTTCAACTAATATACCTAGAAAATAGTTAAGCCAACCTAAATCTTTCATCTTGAAGTTTACATTCAAATTCAATTTTAATGTTTCAATCTCTTTTTCAGATGAACCACTGATTGAAATATCATCAACAAAAATAATGACATAAATAGTTACATTATTAGAAATTCGTACATATAGGCAGTTGTCACATTTATTTTTGTAAAATCCCTCATTTTTCATGAAATCATCAAACTTTTGATATCAATATAGAGGCGCTTTTTTAAGACCATAAATTGCTTTATTCGATTTGCAAACCATATTTTGGATATTATAACCTTCAGGCAAATACATGTAAAGATCCTCCTTCAATTCACCATGTGTAAGAAAGCATCACAGACATCCATTTGATAAACAATCCAGTTATTCTGTGCACACAGAGCCAAAATTGTCCGTACAGTTGTTAACCTGACTAGTGGGCTATATACACATCTTCAATAATATTTTGTTTAAACCCTCTTGCTACTGAACGACACTTGAACTCACTGATGTTACCTTCCTTATCCTTTAAAATTTTGAATACCCACTTACTATCTACGATCTCACATTTTTGAGGCTTTTCGACCAACTTCCAGGTGTTATTCTCTATTAGGGCATTTATTTCTTCACCAATTGCTGTTTTCCACACACTGGCATAGTTACTTCTCATTGCTTCATTATAAGTAGTCGGCTCATCGACATCTAAGCTAAAGAAACTTAAATCATAATAATCATGTAAATTTTTAGGCACTTTTAAGACTCTACAAGGTCGCAATCTTAGGTCTCTATCCCTCAGTAGAGTTTGGTCTAACTCTGTTTCTAGATTATCTTCTTCTCCTTCCACAATCTGTGGTACCTCTGGTGGCTCCTCCTCCAAGTCTTCCAACTTTTCCCCATCAATATTCTCTGCACAATTCTCTGAATCAAGAGAAATAATTGTCCGTTCTGAATTTTCCATTTGTTCAAAAGCTACCTCTCTTTCAATAGCCACTGTATTTTTTTCTTTGTAATAAACCCTGTACCCTTTAACATTATCTGAATATCCAACGAATATTCCAGATTTGCTCTTCATATCTAATTTTTGACTTTTTTCTGGAGGTATGTAAGCCCATACCTTACTGCCAAAAATTCCTTTATTCATCTTTAAGTCAAAAGATCTTTTAAATAATAGTTCATAATGCGTTTTTCCTTGAACTGAGCTCATACCAGTCCTATCCAATAAGAAAACAGCAGTATTTGCAGCCTCTGTCCAAAACATTTTCGATAATTTACATTCTGCAAGCATAGCTCTCACGTTCTGAATTCCCTTTCCGCTCTACTATTTTGTTGGGGAGTGTATGGCACAGTACACTCATGTTTAATACCCTTATGTTTTAACAAAGTTCCAACGGAATGATTTAAAAATTCCCCACCATTATCGCTTCTAATAATTTTTATCTTCTTATTAGTCTGATCATGTCTGATTCTTGAAAAACACCAGAAAATCCTTCAAGATTTCAAACATCTGACTTATTTTTCAAAAAATAAACAAACCTGTAATTACTATTGTCATCTTTCAACAAAAACATAAAGTGAATTTTTAAATGAAGCTTCCTCCATGGGGCCACATATATAATAATAATAATAATAATAATAATAAGAAACGTCTTTATTACTTCTGAATAGAAAATAATATAAAAAGTATGGGTGGATAATAATTTTCAGAAGCAAAGGGCTAGGTTCAACTCAGTTTCTAGATGACTCCTTCCACTGAATTGCTCCACATGTATTAAATC